GTTTCAGCTAATAAAATCTCCTAGGATGATTGGAGAGCACTAAATTCATCTTTTGCCTATTTTTTTGGTGTCAGAGACTTCTGTCCCTAAGGAATAGCTTCCGTAGTATAAAACTTTGAATGTAAAGACTGAAACTGTGTATTATATTTTTTTCTTTTAGAGGTAAAGAAAGTGGTGTGGGTGTGCCTCTGCAGTCAGTATGCAGTGATAATGATTTGTTGACATTTGTAGCAGTATTGGAAATAGTCAAAAGGTGCTACTGCAGATGGTTTTGCTTAATAGAATTGATAAGCAGTCCTTGTGGGGGAGGGAGGTGGAGATGTTTGTCAGCTGTGATGCAATTCTTTTTAAATTCTGAGCAGATCACTCATAAAGCCTGCTCTAGTCTCTAAGAATCACTTTGTTAGGTGCCGCTGCCTACAAGTTATATGAATGCAAGCACACAAAACATTATGTGATGCTAGAATTGTCAAATAGATTAGGCTGATTAACATTATTCTAATAAAGATTTAGTTAAATGTATTTGCTATGCCTAAGGACATTACTGGATTTACTCATTTTGCCTTTAAACAAATCATTTTATTTAGAATTTTGTAGCAACATGTCACTCAGGCTTCAGGGAGCCAGACAGTGACTTCTGTACTATGTAGCTTATTAATTCTCAAGGAAATTAGTCTTAACACTGTCAAAGTGTGCAGTGCTAATAAGTTGCTCTTAAAACAATTTGTTCAGTCTTGTTCACCTTTTTATGGAATTAGGTTCCTTTTATTCAGATTTTTTGAAGTTGCATCCTCTAAATCTGTCTATTTTCCCAGCCTACTCAGTGAAAGCTGAGAAGGTTTAAGTTGTGTATTCCTTACCAAAACCAAACAAACAGTGTTGAGTCTCCCTGCAGGCACATGTTGAACTGGAAATATTGCTAGTCTTCTGGCTCTCTGAGAGGAAGATACAATGTACATAATACAAGTTAACCACATAAAGAATAGGCTTCAAAATTGGCTTGCTTGAGAGCCTGCAGGGATTTCTTCTGATCTGCCTTTCTCAGCAATCTTGTCTTCCTGTCTCTACTTATGCCGACCTGTGTACGTTTGTATGTTCAAATCTTGCCTCCTAGGATACATCTACACTTAGCGCAGTATGCAGAGTATAGACACTGCATGCCCTCCTAGAACTGGTATAAATCGTATAGACCATGATGCACAGCTTAGATGAGTAGTAGTATCTGAACCCCCACATTTTTAGGGTTGCCAGGTTACAGTTTTCTGCCGGACTGCCAGTTGAAAAGGGACCCTGGTGGTGATGACCAGGCTGTTAAAAGTCCGGTTAGCGGCGTAGCAGGGGCCCTGGGCTAAGGCAGGCTCCTTCCCTGCCTTAGCTCCGTGCAGCTCCCAGAAGCAGCTGCCAGGTTCTTGCGGCCCGTAGGCACATGGGCAGCCAGGGAGCCTCCGCATAGTTCCCCCTCCTGAATGCCGGCTCCGCAGCTCCCATTGGCCAGGAACCGCGGCCAATGGGAGCTGAAGGGGTGGCGCCTGTGGGCGGGAGTGTTGCACGTGGAGCCTCCCTGGCTGCCCATGCACCTAGGGACCTCAGGGACCTGGGAGCCACGGTAATCGCTGCCGGGACCCTGCACCTGCTACTATCCCCCAACCCCCTGCCCCAGCCTGGAGTCCCCTCCCACACTGTAAACCCCTCATTTCTGACCCATCTGGAGCCCGCACCCCACCCCAGAGCCCATACCTCCCTGCACCCCATCCCTCTGCCCCAGCCCGGAGCCCTCTCCTGCACCGTGACCCCTCATTTCTGGCTCCACTTGGAGCCCTCAGCCCAGATCCTATAACCCCTGCACCCCAACCCCCTGCCCCAGCCCAGAGCCCTCTCCCGCATCCTGAACCCCTCATTTCTGGCCCCACGTGGAGCCCGCACCCTCAGCCCAGAGCTCAGACCCCTCCAACCCCCCCAATGTAGCTTTCATATGTACAAATGACAGCCATTCTATCATTCCTTGTTAGCTCTTTTAGCCTCAACTACATACTGGTCAATTATCTGATGGAAAGAAAATATGCATAAGAAGACACCTTTCCCATATGTTAAATTGGAAAATGACATATGCCACTTTTTCTCTGGAAGTTAGAAGGCATTCTGAAATACATAGGGTTTATCTACTCGTAATAAGACTTTTAAGTGTAAAATCGGATACCATTTATTTTTCAGTCTTTTGAAATAAGCAAATAACTTTGTCTGCATACTTAACAGATGGCATTAATATTAATTATTTCTTTAAATACTGATTGATTTTTCTCTCTAAGATATGAGTACCAGTACATCAGATTTCTGGATTCTCTGCCTTTAGTTCAGGTTTTCATTTTTATTAGTAAGAAAAATGGGCAACCACAAACAGGACTATCATTCAGTACTGGTCTAAATGAGTAGTATAAATTCAGTGATTCTGAAGCTTTCCCTGAATAGTAGGAGTCCAAAACCACCTAGATTATTGTCACCTACTTTCTGTTGCAAAGACTGTTTTCTATGTTTATATAATATCTGACATATTGAATTCCGCTGGAAACAATAAATGAAGGGTGAGGAAGAGGAGGACATGGAGACTCCTTATGGATGTGACATGTAGAACGGCTGTGAGATAAAATATATATATATATGTTTCTATTGCAAAGGTTTTTAATGTACTTTTTTGTGTTTTGTTTTAGGCTTATGGTATGTCTGCTTTGCCTCTAAACTTGATAAAAGGAACTAGAAGTCCTACTTATGAACGTTTGGAGAACACTGAAGATATTGAAGAAGTAGAACAACATATACTAAGGATTAAATCAAAGGTTTGGTGTTTGTTACCTAACATTTCAAAGTTTTCTGTTTATAGTGTTCCTGTTGCTCAACACTTCATTATGGTATAATGTTTGGATCACTGCTCATTTTCACAATGTTAGACAGACAGAAGTTAATATTCTCCATTCTTCCAAAGTTAGGTTCTCTCAATTTCTCTTCCAGATGATGGATTCCTTCCATGTGTTGGGACTTGGGTCAAAAATACTCAGTATGATAGCAGAAAATGTACTGTTAACTTGTGCACTAGGGAATGCCTCTGTTTTCACTGACGGTACCTAACAAAAATGACTTGACAGTGTTTGTTGTAGGTGCTGAAAAAATAAATCAGATTTTGTTGATCTCAGAACAAAATAAATAGTTATAATTAGTTTTAGTTTCATGTAAAATATAATGGGGTGAAAGTGTTAAATAGAAAGTGATTTCAGCAATGAGAATACTTCAAAATGAAAATTTGTGGCCGTAGATAGGTATGTGACACTTGGTCTTGTGTGCAGATTTGATTTTTTTTTTTTTTTTTTTTTTTTTAAGTCAGATTTTTTTTGCTTAGAGTTTACATCTCAGTTGACACTATTGTTAGCAATCTCAGAAGAAAGACAAATGATTCAATGGACCTGGAAGTTGAACCACCTTTCTCCCCTATAGGTGGTCCTTCCAGGTCACAGTTGAGGCATGTTGGTGGAACAGTTTGGGGTAGCATCTCTTGTATATAAAAGGAGAGCTCAATTGCTTAGCTACTAAGAGCAGTAAATTTACTGAATCCTTTTAAAAAGACTTCCAGTTTAAATTTCTTAGCAGAAAGTTACAATTAAAAGTGTCTAAAAATTATTAGAGCTGCAGAAAACCTGAGATATCACCATAATCACAATGTTTAAGGATTCCTTTAATTAAAAAAAAAAAAAAAGAAAGAGAGAAAAGAAAAATTCCTAAATGGAGAAATGCATTTTTTAATTGTTTTGTATCAAAAATATGTTTTATAGTGACAAATTCAATCCCTGAGAATGTTTGCCTTAAGTAACCTATAATTGTAGTAAGAGACAGGTTATTATCTAATGTTAAAATCAACTTGTTGATTGGTTCATATGTTACCTAATACTTTTTGTGATTTATTGCTTATAATATTCATACAACTCATTACTGTGCATTCACAAATTAAAAATTGTATATTTAGCTTGCTTAGCTCCTACAGTATATTAAGTACACTCAAACAGATTCATTAAAATACTCATGCCCAGCATTTTGAAGGTCATAGGAGTTAAATGTTCTTGAGAATTTGTCAGATATAGAAATCTCCAAATATGGATTTGACTGTTAGAGGTGGCTGAACTCAACTGGTTAAGGGGACAATTCTGATATTTGTGTTTTGGAAATTTTTATGCTGAGTGTGTCCTTTAAAGGGTGCTGCTCTGGAATGTATTTGAAAAGATGTGAAATATAGCTGACTTTGTATTGACTAGAAGAAAAAATGGAGAGCTGGAAAGAAAGTATTAAAAATAGAAATGGGCTAAAATGAAATTAGTCTCTTACAAACTGGATTTACAGTCTTGTATGCAATTCTGACTTCATAGAGCTGCCAGAGCTTGTTATACAGATGTTAAATTTTATTCTTTCATACATTTTTCACAAACTGTTCCATTATTTTCACACCTCCATTTTGATTAGCAGTGCAAAGATGGTCGGCCTTTACCAACAAGGGACAGACGGAACCTACAGCAACTTGAAGAGAGGCTAAGGATACTTCGAAGGAGAGAGAGACATCTGGAATTTATTGAGAAAAGCTGCTGGACAAAGTTCTGTGGAGCCATGCGACCTCTAAAAGTAAAAAAAAGCAAATCCGAGTCTTTCATTTTATGCCTGCTTCACTGTAGAATAACTATTTCTGAATTTTTTGTTCTTTGCCATTTAGCACCTTCGCATGAGCTATTCGATGAAATAGTCTGGTGGTAATAGATTTTTTTTGTTTTGTTTTTCCCCAAATCTGACATCTTAAAACACGATAAAATGACTTGAAGCCTCTTGTGTGGCTATTACTGCATCTCAAGTTGTATGAAGCAGTAGCCTGTTACTTTTAATCTGTAGATTGCTTCCTTGAAAGATGCATAGGATGTCGCATATATATCTAACAAAAATATAGCTTATGTCCCTTTTTATTGGATAAATGTGCCTTCATTATCTCTTTGAGAGCATCCCAATATAGAAGCTAGTAGCTTCTGTACTTAGTTTTGTGTAACCACAAATGTTTTCTTGTGCATTGTAAGAACAGTCTTATAATTTATGTTAGTCAGTGTGAAATCAAGAAACTGTTAACACTTAGCACTGATTACCAAGTCAGTACTAGATAATTTAAGTAGTAATATGAACTAGTTGTGGGCATAAGGTCTGATTTGTATGTCTGTGTATAAGCAGCTTCCTGACCAACTCATTCAGCTTCTACTGTGGTATGTTTAGTATGTGTTTCTCTCTATAATGATAAGGGTTGTAAATACGTAAGTATGTATGCTATACCACCTAACTAATGAGTGTTTCAAAAAACTGTTGAAATTAATCTTTTGACTCTTACATTGATTAAGCATCATTAGTGTTTTTGTTCAAGCATAAATACCTGATAAATATGGATTCTATAGCATATTCGAAACCTCCCAAATTAAGAGTTTCAGATATCACTGTCCTGCAAAGAGAAAATGGTCCTTGCAAGATGCTTCTTAGCATCATAAGCCATAGTAAGGAAGAAAAGAACTGAGTCATTGCCTCCATGTTCCAGTTTTCTATGCCTTTTCTTGTTGGACACATGGAATCCATGTCTCATCTTTCCAGCTTCTAATTCTCTCTTCCCCTAGGCCTGAAGACAGAAAAAAAGCAGAAGTTAGGACAAAGGAGCTCACTAGCCCCATTATGTGCACTACCTCTATCCGTCTTCTGGGGTGAGATCTGCAGGGAGTATGCCCTGGAGCCTGCCTGCTTGATCGTAGACGCTGACTGTGTTCCATGTTGGCCCTCCTTTGAGGAAACAGGGGGTGCAGCTTTGTCTCTCTTCGCTTCAGCTGCCAGCTTTAGCTCTGAGGGATTTGTGATTTCTTGTTGGCAGCTGCTACTCCATCTAATTCTCCCTTCCCAGATCTTAGTGTTCAGTCTTCTCTGTCCTGAGTGCCCTACACCTTAGTTCCTGGTCTGATTCTGTGGATCTGTCTGCCTGGTTGTGGAGAGTGGGAGCCCCAAATTGCTAGCCATGGTCTTTCCCACTGGTATGAATTAGTAGCTTTGCTTCCATGTATGCAGTTTTATGGAGAGTGAGGAAAGGATTTCTGTTGGAGCATTAAGTAGGCTGGGTGGGCAGCCTTTCCCTGTTTGGGTATTTGAGCTAGTCCTAGCTAGAGCTCTTCCCCCCCAGAAGCACTCTGATTGCATAGCAGTGTTCATAGCAGCTTTTGGAGCAGACCATTTTATTCTGTTCTACACAGCCTTCTTTCTTAGCTCTCTGGAGCTGCTTCTCCTCTTCTGTCTGCTGCCATCTCTCCAGAGCCTTTCATTCAGCACCTAAACATTCTCTGTGCTTTCATGCTGCCTTCTCAAGCTTTAGATATCAAGACTGCTGCCTGTCCTGGAGTTTAGGATGATCCAGATGATTTAGCCACAGCTGATACCCTGGGACTGAGAGACTTGGACCTTGCTCTGACATCAGGTTCTAGAGTCTTGTGAGGGCTTGAAATTCTTAGCATCCTTATAGGATAAGGATTCTCACTCATGACTCTCTGCTCTGTATTGTGAAATGGGAAGTGCTCTCCTAGCTCTTTAATTTTTTGGTCCCTACAGGTAGCAGTGGTAGCAAGCAGATCAAGAAATACGCTGTTTGTTGTGCAATTTGTAGTGTCCCTAACCACTGGCCTTGAAAACTGCAGAGATGCTGGGGAGAGATAGCTCAGTGGTTTGAGCATTGGCCTGCTAAACCCAGGGTTGTGAGTTCAATCCTTGAGGGGGCCACTTAGGGATCTGGGGCAAAAATCAGTACTTGGTCCTGCTAGTGAAGACAGGGGGCTGGACTCGATGACCTTTTGGGGTCCCTTCCAGTTCTATGAGATAGAAGGTATAGGGGCTGCTACACACGGCAGAGCCCAGCTACCCAGTTCGCAATGTGCTGGTGTGGGTGGGCTGCAGTTCCCAGCATGCCCTGAATGAGGGAAGGGACCTCTGGGTCGCAGCCCCACAGTGAGTGGAGCGCCCAATCCGATGGGGCTGGAGGCCCCGCAGCTCTCTGCACTTTGGCTGCCAGGCCTGATCCTTATCTGCTCGGGGGCAGGAGCAGGCCCAGGAGACCCGGCTGCTTGGCTCTCACAAAGGGTGAGGAAAGGCAGGGCCACTGGCCCGATGGGACAGTAAGAAAGCTGAGTTGAGCCTGTGGCTGGGCTTTGGAGGGAGGGGGTGCCCTGCGCCTGGGTTCTGCGGGCAGGAGATGTGGGTGTTTGGGTTGGGTGGTCCCATGCAGCCTCCTTCAGAACCCCTCCACTACCCTAAAATACCCCCTTCAGCTCCCCCACTCTTCCCCTGGCAGTGTCCTCTATTTGGGAGCTTGAAATATGGTAACCTGATGGGCACAGGGTGAAAAAACTAGACTAAAAGACCAGAAGGGCAGAGTTTTTCCCCAAGATGTGCCCAGTTGGCATGTGTGACACACCCAGACTGAGGCACCCAACGAAAGGATAACAGAGAAACAGGAACTGGGTTGTCATAGGGGTTTCTTTAATCTCAACTCCTGGGGGAAATCTTTTTTGATGTCCAACATACTTGCTGACAGTATTTTGAAATAAAATATGAAAATAATTGAAACTGGTTTGATTATATTGTGTTATTTTGACAAATAAAATGTGCAGAATTTTAAAATATTTTGTGCAGAATTTCTAATTTTTTGGCACAGAATTCCCCCAGGAGTAATCATTATGAGGATACCGACTTGCCTTCTCCAGTATAAAATCCTCCCTCACCCTTAAGCTTGTATCAGACTGGAGATATTAAGAGTCATAGAAAGCTAAGAGGGGTTATGGTCACAAGGTCAAAAATAAGAGTGAACTTAGCTAATGTCATTTGTTAGAACTCTCAACAAACTGAAGAAACGTACCTATTTTATTGTTGGAGCCTTTTTGATATTGGGGGAGAGGGAGGCTCTGACCCTGGTAAGTAACCATTCTATTTTGTTTTTTCTTTCTTCTAAGAAGTTTCTTTCAAGATTAAGCATAATTTGATATTGTGAAGGTGTCCTATCGGGGAAAATAGTTTAAAGCATGAATGGGTTCCTTTTTGTTTGGATTATTTGAGAAAGCTGGAGGCTCTAGAATAGCATTTGTTTTCATTCACAATACAAAATAAGATGTTAATTTCACAGTAGTTATTTTCACTGAATAACATTTATTCTATATTAAATACTTGATTTGTATTTACAGTATACAATATACATATAATAAGCATTTGTCAGGAGTTTTATAAAATAAAATTTCAATCATTTCACTGGAGATAGTGGGATGTGATTAATTTCTGTACTGTCCAATGAGCACAGTTCAGAAATTGGTCTTAAATTGCTCTAATATTTATTTTCTTCAGTGTAAAATACTAGATGTGTATTGTTAATGGATTTTCAGGCTCAGTTTTCCCCCAAAATAAGAGCACAGCCAGTCTAGGATGTTGTTTAAAATTCTGGGGTCTCTTGAGAGAGGTTTAGCAAATAGACAGTCATTTCCTCCCGAAGGTCTCGGGAGCAAAAACAATGTAAATAGTCCCTTTAATTCAGGGTGAGAACACAACAGTTCTGTCTTCAGAGTGGAGGAAGATAGTTTGCCTTTTTCTTGTGGTAAATGACTATCCCCATTCCTCAGGACAGGAGAAACGTTTCCCAGAAGAACTCTAGTATCTTGTCTTGTGCCTGTATGTACCCCTTGGTTACTTCCATTTATTTCCTGCTCAGGTGGGAGACCACGGTTGACTTCAAATGTCAGCCCTTACTTTCACACCATACAACACACACTCTACATGGGTTGGGGATAATGTCCTTCTCTCACTCCATGAATGACAGAGAGGTTCTGTAGATGGTGCATAGACTTTGTCTGCTGTGTTGTAAATCTTCATTTGTATGTTTGTTTAGTAGAGGAAACTCATAAGACTTTTGCATCTAGTTTATATTTACTTTATTCTGTTTACCATAATACCTGTAGATTTAGCATTTAGATGCTGGTTTACAAAAGTTTATCCAGTCGGCGTCGGTGATCACTCAGTCGAGGATGATCTCTTTCACAGGTTTTATTTTTTATGGGTCCTTTGGTGGCTGAGGAGTCCGATCCTGGAGCCACAGACTTATTGGCAAGTTGTTGCGGGTGGTATTGGAAGTCAGGGTTGGGCCACAATTACTGCCTGACAGTTGTGTGTCCTTTTCTTTTCTGGTGTTTTTCTGCGACCAGGGCAAGGCGATTTTCCTCAGAAGTAATAGTTTCCTCTCTGACAAGTCTTGCCCAGTTATCCCTATCTTGGGCTACTGTCTCCCAGTGAGTGGTGTTGATGCCACATCTCTTGGTGTTTATCTTAAGAGTGTCTTTAAAGTAACAAGGAGTCCAGTGGCACCTTAAAGACTAACCAATTTATTTGGGCATAAGCTTTTGTGGGTAAAAAAACTGGGTAAAAAACACTGAAGATGTTGGCCTCTGTGAGGACACTGACATTAGTGTGGCAATCCTCCCACTATATGTTGAGGATCTTCCAAAGAAAGAGCTGGTGCTGGCATTCCAGGTTTTTCAGATGTTTTCTATAGGTTACCCAAGTCTCACAGCTGCAGAAGAGAG